CCGCATTCAACTAAAAATCAGACAACTAACTCTTAATCAAGCCGTAATGGCGCTTATCAATATACCTGAGAGTTTCAGGCTGACTGGCTAAATACCGGTTATGGCTAATCTTACTCCTTGCCGCTCTCTGAATGGTTATGCTAAAGCCCAAATTCGTAAAACGCACGGTTATACAGGCTTTTCAATTTTAAATAATATGGGAATGTGAAACTTGTCGCCCAAGTTGTCCCAGAGACTCTGAATCTACTCAACTGTGTTGGAACAATGGAGATGCAAAGCAGAAAATACAAGTAGTGTTTATCATAAATTGTCTAAGATATATAGACTGGATGGACCAGAAGTTCTTAAAATCAATTATATGAATGACTGATAAAGAAGTTACAATACGACACAGCTACAAAATAATGAAGTATGGACTGACGAATCAAACTACACAATGGAGGGATCCATGAATCAGTCCTAAAATACCCACAGAGAGGTGCCTATGGACATTATTGCTGCATAGCAAATAATTAAGTCAGCGCTCTACTATAGAAAAGTGATGCATATATGAGTTGTGTCTGGAAACTAAAGATAATGAAGTCAGTTTGCCAAGAAATCAACTTAAATTCGAAATTCTAAAACGATCGATATTAAATGTTAAATACGTTTTATGTATCATACTACTTTATATTCATTTAAAGTAACGCAACCAGGATACAGAAAATGACTCGCCTTGCAATTGTTCACTTCTGAAGGGAGGATTGGACGCTTAGTTTTGGAGCCTGGGGGCCTGCCGCGCCGTCCTGTCCGCATTGAATGTATCACATTATTCGAGCTAACTGGAAGCAGAGCTTTGCTGGGAGGATAATTTTTTGCGGCTAGGGGCACCGGGTTGTGAAAGAGACGGTTTGTGTTGGCCGAAAAATCGGTAGCAGGAGCAATGGGCGGTTGACTGGCCGCAAGTTTGGCGTACAGACTGACGCAGTTGGCAGATTGTGGAGGTAAAGGCTTTTTGTTAAGCCTCAAGGGTAGGACTATTTGGTTCGTACTGTTGGTACAGTTAGAGAGCGAGGAACCGGCTGACGTGGCCGAGCTCACTCCCATCGTCCCTGCCATCGTAATGCCTCCGGCCACCCCACCTGGTGCTGCTGCGGCCAGCTTCTTTTTCTCTCCAGACTCGTCCAAAACGAAAGAGCCATCAACAGTCTTTGCCAACTTGCCGTAGGTGGCTTCACGATTAAGGCACACCTTCAGGGTGGCTCCCGTCAATTCTGGCACACTAGCCTCAGTAGACGCCGACTCATCTTCATTGTCCTCCTTTTTAAGATTTTGCAAAGAGTTTAGAGCCTGTTCAATCTCAGAAATAGTGAAGCTAAGCAGGGTTGAAGTACTGGAGCCCATTGGTGTGAGTGAATTAGGTAGAGCAGTCTTGGTGTCTGTAGCCGATGAGGATGACTCACTGTTGGCGGTCGCATCAAAAGCGTTGGACAGATGAGTTGTAAGCAGTCGTTTGACCGCTTCCACAAGAAGCTGGCTAATGTTGGGAAGATTTGCCATATTTCCATTGCCAATGGCTGTCTTGCGCCATTTTGATGGATTGCGATAACTTGTGTTACCTTTATAGTCGACACACACTACCGCACCAGTATCTGCCAAGCGACCTAGGCAGATTTGCGTCTCACAAGGTGTGATGTTGTGATGGCGTTTGAGCAAACAGGAGATCCTCTCAAAGTCCGGTCTGGCTTTTCGTTCTCTCAACTTGTCGATTGCATCGAGTATGGCGCCACGATGAAATTCGACAGCTTCGAGGGCAGAAATATCGGCTGTAGCAATGGTGCCTTGCATCTGACCTGTAGCAACGGAAGTTACTGTCTGTGGCAGTGAAGAGGATGTAATGATTGACGAGGGTATTACACATTGCGCTTTAGGCAGCTTTAGTTTTGTCGGACTTTGACCCGAAATGCCGCCAACACAGTTGAGAGTGGCCTGGATAGTGTTGTTAGCTGTAGTCTCCGACGCTTGGTCACAAGAGGCCCCTTTGGCTGAGGCTAGGGTTGGTTGAATAGTTGTGAGAAGTCCTATTGCGGAGGATGGAGGTTTGAGATTGGGCTGTGAGACGACTGATACAGAAGGGGAGATTCCGTTACAAGGCCCAGACGAAGTAATGGAAATGGTGGGTGCGCAAGTCACAGCCATGGAGCAGGAGGGTGTGACTGTGCATTGAGTAGACGACGGACAAGTGAGCAGGTGAGCCTGACTATAGACTGGGGGAATAAAGGAAGCAAGTGTTGGTGGTGGTGGGGGCGGCGGAGGCTGGGGCTGGGGTTGTGGTTGTGGCGTTGTGAGTGCTGGTACAGAAGGAGACAGAGAGGCTAAGCCGGACGAGAGAGGATGCGATAAAAAGGAGTGAATATGTCCATTGGCCGAGGTTGAGGGGGCGGCCAGCAAGAGTGTGGCGGAGGAGGCGGCAGGAGGGGAGCCTGGGACGCAGTGATGAGCGGCAAGGAAGGAGCCGACGGACGGATTGAGAGATGTTGGCACAGACGAAGGGACATTGACGAGGCCACCTGAACCATTAGCACCATTGAATGGAATTAGGGTGGGCGACTGAAAACCGGCGAAAGGTGAAGGTTGAAGCACCGAGGTAGAGACTGGCGTTTGCTGTTGTGCCAGCGACGACGGCGGTATCGACAGTGAAGCTGGAATGGACGTGGCCAATGGAGCGCTTAAGGAGGAGTTGGAGGCGAGCGAGGTGGGAGTGAAGTTTGCTGACATGGAGGGAGATATGAGAGCTGGCATTCCGGTAAACAGTGAAGGGGCCTGCATGGGATATGCAGGAATAGAAGTCTGTGAAGGCAGTGGTGCCATGGTATTCTGATTGGCCATTCCGCCCTGAAGAATACCATTGAAGGTGACGAAGGCGGGCGAACCTATTGAGGACGGACCGGCAGCCAGCATGGCGGTGATGTTGTGACCAAGAGTTGGGGATAAAGTAAGGCTGCTGGACGAAGGATGGTTCAAGGTGGGTTGGGAAGAGATAAAGTCTTCCTGTAGGTAAAAGGAAGAGGAGGAGTTATGAAAAAATGAGATTAACTTGTCCGAAGAGGTTGAGGAGGGAGGAGAAAGAGATGCGCCCGCTGAACTATTCACAGGAAGGGATATGGACGAAGATGGATTGGGATCTGAAAGAAGATAGTCATGCAACGAAGAGTGACCTAAGGAGACATTTTCCATCGAATCAACAAATTGTAGTGAGGCCAAATTCAATGCAAAGGGAAAACAAGCACGGAAGGAACGAGAGAAGCGACCGGCGAATAAACGAAAACATACAGCGGAAAGCTTGCAGTATTGTGATGCCGTCTTGTCAGCTATGCACATCTATCTATCGCCGTCAGTTCAATAAGGTCGGTGAACCAATCAGACAAGGGCTTGTATGTCTCGGATCCTGTCAGTCGAGAAAGAGCGCAATTAAGATTAACCGACGACAAATAAAACAAGAGGGTAAAGAGATTCCCTCAACCAATAAGAATGAAAAAGCGGCCTTACTTACGAAAGCGCTGAACATCTCTGCCCTTTTGCAGCTTTCTGATAGGGTAAGATGGGCTAAACGTCCAACCGAAATTCGTATTGACCATATGCGTCTATTAGCGTATCTCTAAACTCACAACGTTAAATTGGGCGTGGAGATTCTCCGGCAGAGTGGTCCCCTCTGGTAGGTCCATGCTTTGCAGCACATGACTACACACAGAGACACCTAACTATGCTGTGGCGAGAGTCAAAGGGTGGAGCTAAAATTATGATGATTAGTAAGTTCTCATAATTTCTGGTTGAAAATTATTTGCAATGCCTATAGCAGCTTCGCACGCTCACAGGCCGAGCGTGAGGTTGCACATAGTAAGTTAGTGAGGACATGATTGCTGCCTTGAAAGCATAGAAAGTCTAATGTCGCACAATGAAAATGATGCGCACGAATAGCCTTGATGATCTTGGCTAAATTTTGACGCAAATGAGAATTGCATTGCCTGGTCTAGTGTGCGGGCTGAATCAAAGAAGCTTGGTTGAGTGATTTCTTTGGACGAAAAACGCATACAATTTATAAGCTTAATACAAATACTGAAGACTCCAATGTTAGTATAGTTGCTGCAACCATAGTTGA